CCCACGCGCCCGTCCCGCGTTGGTTCACGGCGCGCCGATCGGATTTGTCGGCGCGGCGCGGCGTGGGCAGGGCGCGGCGTGGCGTGGCGGCGCCGGCGCGGCGCGCATGTCTAATCCGCAGTCATTGTGCCTTTATATAAAGGTAAAGGTTCACATTTTGACTGCGGGTGCTATCGGGCGATCAGCTTGACCAGTTTAGCAAGTAAAGTTTACTCGAAGGTTTTGACACGTAGGATGCAAGAGAAATCGGAAAGATTTCTATGGGAGGCACAATGCGGATTTAGACCTGGAAGAGGATGCACGGATCAAATGTTTTCTCTCCGCATGATCACGGAGAAGCTTCTGGCTGCTAACCAGAAGATTTTCTGTGCTTTTGTGGATCTTGAGAAAGCATTTGATAAGGTTGTAAGGAAGAAAATGTGGGAACTGTTGCCGGGGTATGGTGTGGATGGTCGATTGCTAAGGGCTGTGCAGTCTCTTTACTGTGACTGTAAAGCCTGTGTGCGGGTAGGGCATGACCTGTCACCCATGTTTAACGTCTAAACGGGCGTAAAGCAGGGTTGTGTCATGTCTTCCTGGCTGTTCATACTGTATCTCGACAGCTGTTTACAGAAGCTGAAAGATAGCTGTTTGGGTGTGAAATTGGGTGACATAAAAGTAAATTGTCTGCTGTATGCTGATGATGCGGTGCTTATTGCACCATCAGAGACAGAACTGCAGGCATTAGTCACGTGTATGAAAGAGGAATGTGAAATTAAAGGTCTCCGTTTGAATGCTAATAAAACTAAGGTTCTGGTATTTGAAAGGGACGAAGAGAGAACGAAGTGTGAAATATGGGTAAATCAGGAATGTCTAGAACAGGTAAATGAAATTGTATACTTGGGGAGTGCTTTTAGCCGGGATGGAAGATGTGATTTAGATGTGGACAGGCGTGTAGCTGCCTGGAACAAAGTCAATGGTGCCCTGACTGCGTTAGTCAAAAGGCAAGGCGTAGCGAATAGTGCACGCCTTGCAATACATAACGCAGTGTTGGTACCGACTTTGTTATATGGCAGCGAAACCTGGGTATGCCAGAAGAAGCATAAAAGTAAGTTGAATGCAGTGGAGATGCGATCTCTTCGTAAAATGTGCGGCGTTACCATGGCCGACCGAAAGCGAAACGAAGAGATTCGCAATATGGCAAGTTTGAAAGATGACCTTATCACAAAAATTGATAAGGGCGTGCTTGGGTGGTTTGGGCACGTTGAGCGAATGAGTGAAGACCGAATGGTGAAGAAAATATATAGCGCGAAAGTTAATATTAAAAGGTGTCGAGGTAGACCGAGACTAACTTTCGAAGACCATGTGAGTAAATTGCTCGAAGAGGGTAGGGTCAAGAGTACTCGGATACCTAGACGTGCATGCATGAAGAAGATAATGAATCTGAAAGAAGCGAAAGAGGTTTGTAAGGATCGTGACACTTGGCGATCTGTTCTCTCTGGCTACCCCGTCAGGGATTGTGCGTGAAGATAAGTAAGTATAATGTTGAGACAGCTAGATTAATTTATTTTAGTTACTTTCATAGCCTAATGTGGAATTTTGCTATGGGCGAATGATATTGTAACCATATTTGTGTTGCAAAACAGAGCCGTACGAGCGATTTATAACTTCGATTGTAAAGAGTTCGGAGAAAAATTTAAAGAAAAAAACATATTAACTTTGGGATCGTAATATACAGTCAAGTTTGGCAACTTTACCAATGGAAGGTAACTTTGCCATCAGTGGTGTACTGGCGCAAACTTACGATTGACACGGAAAACGTAACATTTTTAGAGTATTGTCATTTTTTGTATGAAAATTTAATAACTAATTAACATCATTATTTTCAATATGGCAATATCAGAGTAAATTTTGACATTAAATTTTACCGCGAAATTGTGCCGGCGACTTAAAGACCTTTTTCAGTGCACCAGAACTTTTGTGGATTTTAGTTGAAATACTGAATGTACGTACCTATATCTTTGTAATAACGTAATATTAATGGTTAGGAAATGTAATATTTCATTTTTAATATAGTAGTCTTAATATTTGTCTATAAAACTAACTTGACAAAGTTACCATACTAGTGATTTCGCGATGTGACGGTTACTTTGCCATGTTTTGCTACAAACAAGGGTTGTAACTTTTAGTTTATATTTTGACCCGACTATGGCGATTCAAATTATCAATCTATGTATGTATGTTTGTATAGATGTTTCACCGTAGCAGACTGTTGGACCGATTTTATTTTTAATAAAAATGAATCGATTGACTTTTAATCGATTAATTTTTATTAAAAGAAAAGAAAAGAAAAGAGAAATCTTAAAATTATTTTACTGCGTTGTCGGGTATTAATAATATTATTACTTTTTAGTATTTTATATATTTTCAACTTAGAGTATTAATATAATTTGCACCCAAAGAAGTGTAATTTTACTGGCTTACTTATACCTTAACTAGCTTTGCTATTGTTGGAAATCAAAATTTAGGTTGTTTATAAAAAAATCCTGATGTTAATAAAATGATATCACTTTAGGAAAATGGGTCGCCAAAGTAGACATAAATTAGGAAGTAGAACATATAAAAATTACTCAGAAGAAATGCTGAATGTCGCCGTCAACTTAGTATTAACAAAAGAGATATCTTCTATGGAAGCGGAAAAGCGATTTTACATACTAAGACGTACAATAGAAAATAAAGTTAAAGGGCTTCATATGCTTTCGCCTGGTGCACCGCAGAGATTAAGTGAATCTGAATTAAAAGACATTGTTAAAGTTTTGTTTCTGGCAAGTGAGTTCGGATCACCATTGAGACCTGGATTTACGCACGAATTTCTTGATAGTGACGATGACTCTAGCAAAGAAAATTATTTATAATTATTCTTATGTTTATTTATTTATAATTATTGAGAATTTTATCAAGAAAACGTATCCCTCCTAAAAATTGTTGTGAAAATATTGAAATAAAAAATTTAAGTAAAGTACGTAATTAAGATTATTGACAACCCTGACACATATCTTCAAGTTTGTATGAAATATTGAAAAATGGGAGGGCAACATCATAACTCTGAGTATTGTGCATTATATTATGAGGTAAACTTACCTTCAGCCTTGAAGTCAAATCCTGTTATTTTCATTATAAACCCTAATGGCAAAGTTGCCACAAAGTGAGGTTAACTTTGCCATTTTCTTTTTGTTTTGTTTAAATCACTAATAAATACCAAATCTATGAAGAATATAATGTTACATTTAACATTGACGCCCAGTGTGACAGTACATTTTTTGTTGGAAAATTGGTCCTAAATTTTTAAGTCCTTCCAAAAATGGCAACGTTGCCAGGTTTCACGGTATTTATGAAAATGCAACGTATGTCGATAAAAACTTATATAGCTTCGATAAGAATAAGGATGTTCATACTTGTAATGGCAGTTACCAGACTCCACAGAATTAGTAATTCATTTAAGCTGAACGCACATTTGTCCGCGCCGTACGCGCCGAATTTTACTGATGGCCTCGCACATTTGCACGTACGCACCGTCCGCGCCGTCCACAAATCTTTTGGATTGCCAACAACTCTTGCAGTTTTTTCCAACCACTGGTGTGAAACGGTACATTAGATAGATTAGATTGAAGACATTTATCGCTCGGAATCACTATGGAAAAAATATTTTAATAGCCTGCTTATTGGCAGAGGAAGAAGAAAACAAAATTCGAAGAAAAAGAAGATTCTGGATTCATGGTATTAATTTAAAAAGGCAATTGTATGAAGAGTATTATACTTTATTTAAAGACTTGTTATATGATGATGAACGATTTTTTGATATTTGCATTTAACATACAAGAAATTTCAAGAATTGTTACATAATATATTAAAACCATATATTTCTATGGAAAACTCAAGATTTAGAAGGCCAATTGAACCAGAGGAAAGACTTGTTGTATGTTTGAAGTAAGTATTTTTATTGATAATTATGTAATCAGGTATAATTGGGTTTTTGAATTAAAATTCACTATCAATTTTTTAAAAAAAATATATTTACATAATTTATCATTAAGTATTCATTTCACAAAGTTCATCGGAATTTCAATTTTTCTGCCAACCTCTAACCGCAGTGTGCACTTAACACTTAAAAAATATAATTCGAAACAAAAGTCGAAACCACCAGTTTTAGTGGAAAATCCACTAAGTTGGCAACATTAGACAACGATGAGTATCAGCACGCGCCGCGTTATATGACGTCATCAGGATTCGTCCTTCGATATCGTATACCTACCGCATTTTATAAAATTCGGCGCGTACGGCGCGGACAAATGTGCGTTCAGCTTTATGGGCTAATGTATACGCTTTTTCAACAATATCCCAAAAAATGTTCAAAGTTTGTCAATAAACAAGTTTAAAAGTTTTATTAAAGAAAAATTTTACTAAAAGGGTTATTATAATATCAAAGAATAATTGAATGAAAATAACCCCTGGGAATGAGATGCTCGCCACCATGCTGCTTCTATTAAAATTCATTTAAAAATTTTACAAACATAATTATTGTAAATTGAAATAAGTTTAAAATAAAGTTCCGCTGAGTTTCTTGCTGGTTCTTCCCAGGACAGAGGTATTTTCCGAACCAGTGTATGCCTCCCTTTTAGAAGGGGGGGGGGGGGCGATCCCGGCTTTTACTATTCAAAATAAAAAGTTCACTGCTGAACATAGGCCTCTAACATAGATTGCCTCATAGGGAGGATTTTGATATAGTTACCACGCTTGGCAGGCGGGTTCGATACCCCAGTTTTTTATTATTTTCAGTTGTTATCAGGAAGGTGCTGCTGTCCATCTCCTGGTCTGTTTCCCTCTGTCGCTTTATACGACACCCACGAGATGTTATGGGGTATAGCACCCTCGCTTATGCTGCCTCTTCACGGTTACATGCCAATATATCCTCCTTAATATTTGTCCTTAGTATTTTATTGCATAACTTTAAATTTGCACAGATAATCCAACGCTCGAAGCCGTCGCCAAAGATGGGTTTAAGGAGGAAGAAAATAAAGGGCTTTCCTGGGATGACATACAAAAGGCCAGTCACGCGGTACAGCCTAAAATGTTTGGCAAACAAGGTATGTATAAATTTTTTATATTTAGAATAATTTAGTTACATAATATATTAATACGTGAATTTTACTCCCATTAGTTTCTCTCTATGCGTTTAAATAAAACTCGGGAAATTTAATTTAATTACCGTGCAGTGACTGATGACAGCTTATAAAGACAAACAACTTATGGCGTCATATCTTGGTGCGTTTTCACAAAGTCTGTTGGACATCACACTTAAACATTTCATTTTGAAAGGAAATATTATTTTCTCACGGCGAAGAATAGTTTTCATAGAAGAGTAATTTTCAGCAATGGCGACCCACATGGCGGAGCGAAACCTGATACTGGAGCGTCTCCGTGACCTGCACGAGTCCCTGGCGTCCCGGCCTCCAGAGAACGAATTCGCAGAGAATCCAGCAGCACTGAAGACGCAGTTAATGCCCTACCAGCTGCATGCACTCGCCTGGCTACGTTGGAGAGAGACGCAACGGCCATCTGGTGGCATACTAGGTTTGTGTTGTACTTAAGATGATTTAAGGATATTATAACAGTGGTAGAGCCACGCGGCAGCTGTTGCTGTTGCACGTATGGGCCGGCTTGAGCCGGGGTGGTAGCTGACAGAATACCGGCGTGTAGCTCTGGTTCTGCGTTTCGTCTGGTGAGTGTAGGTGGCCGGAGGCCAAATCCCCCCCCCCCGCCCCCCATAAAAATCTTAGCGGAATTAAATGTAAGACTGGCCCAGGATGGTACCAGCATCCCTGGAGAATCCCTCGCTCAGCATTCACGACCAAGCTATTCCATTCCTGAGCGTGGGTGGCTCGGGCTGCCCCGTTAATTGGAGAACGTATGAGGGGGGGGGGGGATTCCGCTCAACATAACTGCTCGGAGCAAAGTGAGCAACAAGACCAAGGCATCCACTGCCACGCTATCCGTGAATTTTTGCAACATTAGAGGACTCCACTCGAACCTAAACGCCGTACACTACCATCTCGAGACGGCGAAGCCGGCCTTGCTCTTTCTGACCGAGATGCAGGTGTCCTCTTAGGCTGATAATTCGTATCTCTCCTACCCGGGGTACAAATTGGAACACTCTTTCGTGCCTCGGGCTGGAGTTTACGTATACCTCAGAGAGGACATCTGTTCTCTACGCCTCGGCAGTCTTGAAGGTTCGGATCTGTCCATCCTAAGGCTACGCGTAGACAGCGACGACCATCCGCGCGTCTACGGGTGCCTCTATAGGTTCCATAACGGTAATGCCGAAATAGACCCACTCATCGACCACGTCCAAATGGCTACAGATTCCTTGCTACAGCAGATGCATCCGCAGAGATCGTGGTCCTTGGCGATTTTAATGCCCACCACGCCGAATGGCTCTGTTCACGTTTAACTGATCATGCGAGATCTGTTCATGATTTTGCCTTTGCATATGGTATGACACAATTGGTTACTTCGCCTACACGGATTCCAGATGTGGAGGATCATGCACCTTTCCTGTTGGACCTTCTACTGACCTCTCATCCAAACAGATATCAGGGCTCCGTCGATGCCTCTCTTGGCTCCTCGGACCATTGTCTAGTCCGGAGTGTAGTGCCACTCACGCCGAAATCGCGCTTACATTCTGCAGGCTGCCGTCGTGTTTAGCACTATAGGTCGGCCAATTGCGATAGAATGCGGTTTTTCTTTGCATCCTACCCTTGGGGCGGATTTGCTTCACGCCGGACGATCCCAAAGTTGTCTTTTTTCTTTTTGCTACAAATGACAGAGATGTCAAGATGTTTCTATCTTATCTTGTCGTGAAGGCTTGGGAATGATGACGATGATGATGATGATGATGATTTCTGTGTGTAAGATAATATTGCGTTTTAGCATATAATCATCAAATTAAATTGTTTTCAATTGTTGACTTATTGTAAATTGTAAAAAAAAGTAAACAGAACCAAATGAGTCACGGATTTTTGAACCGTCGACGATAGTCGCGTCAGTTAACAGTGACAATTGAGCTCCCAATCGAAGTAAAAACTGTAGCCCATAGACAGCATTATTACCTCTAAGGGCTTAGATGGCATGCTCCACAGTTTGTAAATATACTGGTGGGTCCTTTAAGCTAGAATACAATAGCGGATGCACTTATGTTCTACGTCAGAAATAGGTGATATGGTAGTACCTATCCAAATTAACTCTTCGGCAGTAAGAGAGTTTTATCATCTTTTAAAAGTTATCTGGCTCGAAGGACGAAATGTGTTAATTTTATGGATCATCATAAACCAGTGCTTAACCAGACTGAATTTGAGTCTCGGCGGCAAGTCTAAACGGAGACAAGCCATTTGAACACACAAGTCCACTCCCTATCTCTTCATTCCATCCAATTGGACGGAGAGAGATCAGGCACATGACCAACAGATTTACGTACTTTCCAAAGCACTGTGGTGAAACAATGCCAGTTTCCTAATTCCGGGCAGCTACTGAGAATTTCTTGACAGAAAAAGCCAATAACTGATTCTTGGCCCGAACCAAGATTTGAACCTGGAACCTCATGATCAGTAATCACGGTCACGATCAGTAGACCAATGAGGCAGTTGACTGACAATTAAGATAGCAACGTGGACGAAAACCTTTAGGTATGCTTTTTTTTTTTTTTCAGCGGATGACATGGGTCTAGGTAAAACTATCACGATCATAGCGCTGATAGCAAGCGACAAGGAAAGCAACATCGATAATGATGACGGCGAATACGACGATTATACTGGAAAGAACAGTTCCAAATGTAAGTTTTTTATCTTTCAATGTCTGTTGTTTAAAAATTTAATAGTGTTATAATATTCTTCTTTGCTTTATTTTCTTTGTTATAAAGTAACATCCTAAATAGGTCCCGTTACTTCACACAGGTCTCAACTAATTTCTGAGAGAAATCATGTTTTGGAGGAGGGAAGACCGTGACGCGTTTCTTAGTATGACATAAAACGTGATCACTCACGCTCGTCAGCCAAGGGGGTGGGCAGAGACTACGGACTGCCATTTGGCACGATCTTGACACACCTTTCGCTTTCTTTACATCCATACATGCTTGTCGGTTTAGGGTACTACTTTAGTATTGGCAATCAGTAAAAATAAAAAAATCTAGTGTGCAGTTCACACGCGGTACAGAAAATTGCTAGTAAAATTGCTTTGTGATAGCGCCATCTATTGAACAAGAATTGATTGACTCTAAGGTGGCGCACCACCTATTTTACGTAATAATAGGTTCTTGATGGTCTAAATAGGACTAATGTAATATTCTATTTCATTCCCTCGTAAATTCTATAGAGGTATATGTTAGTCTTTTTTTAGTGTTGCTTTTTCGTTTCGTCGAGTTTTAAATCGCAATGATTTTAAAGAAGTGTTAATTTAAAAAAATCGGGATGTGAATGTGTCATGGAATGTGTATTTTAAGTGAGTACGTGTACATATCGAAACAACCTCAAAATGGCGGCGCTCCCTCTGCCGCGCTCGATGCGTCACATTTCTCGCTCTACGTAACCGAAATCTTTGATTCTTTAGCATCGAGTGGTGTAATTAAATTTTGGATGTAGAGACGATAGATAACATGTAGTTGCAGCACCAAATTGTATCCTTTGATTTTGTTATCATCAGTTTTCTGAATTGCCTTCCACTTCCACTATGGAATCTTTGACAATTAATTTTTAATAATTATAACAACAAAATTTATTTAATTTATTTAATACACATAAATAATATAATTAAGAATTTTTTGACTTAAGATAGGTATTACCCATGAAGCAAATACAAAGAGGAGACGGTATAAGCAACTGTGCACTGTGATTCTAAGTAGGTTCTGACGTCGTCATAGTGGGCGTCGCTTTATTTAGTATACCGTCAGCATTCGTTCTGTGCGCTTATTTGTTGAAAATCGCAAATCGGTGTATTTTCGTAGGGTTAAGATGAAAAGGATGAAGTGTTGTATTTTATCGTGTAAAAACTAATCAGATAGACGCTCTGATGTTATGGATGGCATCACATTCATTTGTAAGTAATTTTACATATAAATTATTAAAATAGTTCTAGAAAAATCTCTTTGCGTCGGCTTTCAAATATAATTAAATATATTCGACACTAGATGGCGACACTTTGTGTCATGTGAACTAAAAATATAAAGGTACGTAGAGCTCAGTATTGGTAAAATAATCATACGAAGCTGCTGAAATTTGTTTTGCATTCAGACATAAAGAAATTTTAATTGCCAAAATATTATTTTTATACTTTATAATCATTTTGTGTACAGGCCGCCATCTATCGTAAAGGGAGCTAAATTACATTGCAAAATCGATATGGAACGATTCGAATAGTTTTACTATTTATCGGTAAATGTAGATAGTGAAAAGTGGACGGGGCTTAACATCCCCTCACCCAGCAAATTGTCACGTGTTGTTACATAGTGAAATCTCATTACAACTGCTCCTCTTTGTATTTGCTTTATGGTACTACCTATCCAAATATAATTTAAGACAGATAGCAAATGTCTTAAAGATGTATTCACGTCATAAAAAAATGGATTTGACGGTACAGTGATCGTCGGCGGCACGTTGGTGGTGTGCCCCGCGTCGCTGATGCAGCAGTGGGCGGGCGAGGTGGCGCAGCACTGCCGGCCGCACCGCATCTCCGTGTGCCAGCACCACGGCGCCGCCAGAGCGCAGCAGCCGCACCGCCTCGCCACCTACGACCTCGTGCTCACCACCTACAACATCCTGCTGCGCGACACTGACAAGGTAACGAGCGGTGCAGCAGTGCAGCAGTGCAGCAGTGCCCGCGTCGCTGATGCAGCAGTGGGCGGGCGAGGTGGCGCAGCACTGCCGGCCGCACCGCATCTCCGTGTGCCAGCACCACGGCGCCGCCAGAGCGCAGCAGCCGCACCGCCTCGCCACCTACGACCTCGTGCTCACCACCTACAACATCCTGCTGCGCGACACTGACAAGGTAACGAGCGGTGCAGCAGTGCAGCAGTGCAGCAGTGCCCGCGTCGCTGATGCAGCAGTGGGCGGGCGAGGTGGCGCAGCACTGCCGGCCGCACCGCATCTCCGTGTGCCAGCACCACGGCGCCGCCAGAGCGCAGCAGCCGCACCGCCTCGCCACCTACGACCTCGTGCTCACCACCTACAACATCCTGCTGCGCGACACTGACAAGGTAACGAGCGGTGCAGCAGTGCAGCAGTGCAGCAGTGCCCGCGTCGCTGATGCAGCAGTGGGCGGGCGAGGTGGCGCAGCACTGCCGGCCGCACCGCATCTCCGTGTGCCAGCACCACGGCGCCGCCAGAGCGCAGCAGCCGCACCGCCTCGCCACCTACGACCTCGTGCTCACCACCTACAACATCCTGCTGCGCGACACTGACAAGGTAACGAGCGGTGCAGCAGTGCAGCAGTGCAGCAGTGCCCGCGTCGCTGATGCAGCAGTGGGCGGGCGAGGTGGCGCAGCACTGCCGGCCGCACCGCATCTCCGTGTGCCAGCACCACGGCGCCGCCAGAGCGCAGCAGCCGCACCGCCTCGCCACCTACGACCTCGTGCTCACCACCTACAACATCCTGCTGCGCGACACTGACAAGGTAACGAGCGGTGCAGCAGTGCAGCAGTGCAGCAGTGCCCGCGTCGCTGATGCAGCAGTGGGCGGGCGAGGTGGCGCAGCACTGCCGGCCGCACCGCATCTCCGTGTGCCAGCACCACGGCGCCGCCAGAGCGCAGCAGCCGCACCGCCTCGCCACCTACGACCTCGTGCTCACCACCTACAACATCCTGCTGCGCGACACTGACAAGGTAACGAGCGGTGCAGCAGTGCAGCAGTGCAGCAGTGCCCGCGTCGCTGATGCAGCAGTGGGCGGGCGAGGTGGCGCAGCACTGCCGGCCGCACTGCATCTCTGTTTTGATATTTTAGATGTGATATAAATACAGAGATCGTAACGCTATTAGTCACTGACCTGAAGTGACTTGTAAAAGCGGCAACGGCGCGCCAGCGGTTCAGTGCTCACGTGACATCGACATAGGTAATTATAATACCTACACTTGCCCATACATAGGTAATTAGGCACGCGTAGGGCGTTGCTAATACGATGTTATCAACAAATCACAAATTTCATGGTATTTTTTTTAATTCAAATAATCACTTTAATCTTGAAATCACTCAAGTTTATTAAACAAATCAAATTTTTAAATTTTCAAAATGTCCACCGTGTACCCGAATGCATAATTGACATTGGCTGCAAATTTTTTATTTTGTCGGTAGTTCGCATTATTCTTATTTTTAAGTTCTCGACAGTCGTTACTTCAGTAGAGTACACCTCATTTTTTATGTAACCCCATAAAAAGAAATCTACCGGTGTTAGATCCGGGGACCGTGCTGGCGACCAGGAGGGTCCGTATCGGCCAATCCATTTCTCTCCGAACATCTCAATGAGGCGCTGCCTGGCAGCCACCACTGAATGAGCAGGTACTCCATCAAGCTGATACGATAAGCCGCTATTGGCCCCCAACGATAGTTCATCAACATAATTCGCCACTGGGCCGTCAAGCAGTTCCAAAAATTTAGGCCCATTAAGATTGCCTTCGATAAACACGGGACCAATTATTTGATCTCCGTGTATTCCAGCCCGAACATTAACGGCAAATCTATATTGGTGCACAGACTCTCGACACAGTTGCGGATTTGCTTGACTCCAGTATCGTAAAATCTGCCCATTCCATATTCCGTTGCGCGTGAATGTGCCCTCGTTAGTCCACATTACGTTTGCTAAAAAGTTAGAGTCATTAGCTTCTTTCCTCAGGAGCCATTCGCAGTAGACTTCCCTGACTGGCATATCTCTATCTAATAAAGCTTGTACCTTTACGTATTTGAACGGCTGTTGCTTGTTTTTTTTTAAATATTTTGTGAACAGACTTGTGGTGTACACAGAATTGGCGAGCTGCTCTACGGAGACTTGATGTTGGATTCCGAGCGAAATAATTTAATATTTGTTCTTCCTGAGCGTATTATTAACGTGTCCTATCACAAATGAAAAAAATACAATAGAGTAAAAAAAAGCGTCCAATTTCGCACAAACTGTCACGCCACCTTCTTAACACAATTATTATTATAGTATTAACGTGTCCTATCACAAACAAATCAAGAAACTTATGAAAATATCCACAAAATAAAAAAAAACAACAATTAAAACTTTAAATTAAAAGGATTTGTACGCGAAAAACTAAAATTAGGTCAAGCGACTCATGAACCATCCCCAAGGACGCCGGCGTCGAACTAAGTGACTTACTGTCTTACTTTACCGTTGCACGTGCCAGTCGATAACACGCACCCTCCCGACATACCGTCCCAATTCTTGTCACATCGCGCATAGAGAATTATGCCGTATGTCGTCTATTTTAAGTATATTTTTAGCTTGAATTTGTTTTCACACACCCGCAGCGCGTGGTCTCTTTGTTTTTAATTTCACGCATAAGAATTATGCCTTATATTGTTAGACATAAGTACATTTCTTGCTTAATTTATTACTTTATCTGAATGACTTGAATTGGCAACGTTTGAACTAGGTATCTTCGCCTTCACGGGCCATGGGTCTTTGAACTTCTAGTATTCATCAGGTGATATCCGATGCTTAAATAATGTTGTTTAATATTAAAACGAAAAAAAGCTACCGCGACCTGAATATTAATTGTTATATTTTTTTTAGTTGTGTATGTTTAAAGAACTTTGTGTAGGATACGTCTTTTCATTTAACGTGATAATTTCATCGTCACTTTGTATATACAGTGTGTCCGGTCACGACCTAGCGATAATTTAAGGTTAAAAAATATACCTAATTTCATCGACAAAAACACCCATATATGGGGGTCTACCCCCCCCCCCCCCCCTCCTGTCAGAATGGCCGCTATTTAATTTTTTTTATTCTTGTAGATACCTCTGCCAAAAGATGCATATTACTCTGGACTGAAAGGTCCTACAGATGTATAAAAAATGTTATTTAAAAGGTAAAAATAGCTTCTATCAAATAAAATACTGGAAAACATAATGGAAAGTTTTTCCTACAAAATATCTTAAAACATTTACAATGTTAATTTAAGTAGAAAAAAATGACTGTTTTTTTTATGTTTCTTAACCTACTTCAAAAACCAGCACATTGATACTATATTTTTTAATACTGTCCTAATACTTAAGGATATTACTTACAAATTGACATTAAAATTATTGTTCTTAATTGCATTACTCGAGAGTTAGGGCTGTTTGAATATGACCCTTTTGCGACGGTCCCAAACCCATGTAGAGCTACCTGCTACAATGAATAGGGTTTTTGTGACAAGGACGGAAGATGATTTGTATTATTGTTAGGGCGGTTAATAAGTAGGACAAAAAATCATGTTTGACCAGCGCTTCCGTCAAATTAATTGGACCAATAGAATTATCAAATACAATGAATGGCCCAAGATTTTTAGATTTCCTAAGGAACACATTTAGAGAAATCATGGAGGAGTCACCAGTGATTAACCTAAGGCACATGTGGCTACAGTTGGACGGTGCACCAGCTCACTACACACGTGTTGTGAGAGCTTTTCTTAATGAAAAATATTCACCATGGATAGGACGTGGTGGAACAGTAGCTTGGCCACCTCGCTCTCCGGATTTAACACCGCTGGATTATTTTTATGGGGATGGATTAAGCAGTGGGTTTATGCTACAGTTCCAAATAGCAGACAAGAACTGCTCGACAAAATAATGACGATTGTGGATGACAAAAGATCCGACCTAGCCTTAATATCAAAGGCCACACAACAAATGGCTGTAAGGTGGCCTGTCTACAGAATAGAGGTGGGCATATTGAACAATTATTAAATGAATAATAATACTTAATGCCATTAAAAGTTTCTTAAAAGTTATAGTGTATTTTTATTTAATCCATTATCGAAAATTAATAGCGCTTATATGAGGCTCTACATACATGACCCTCGCAAAAGGGTCATATTCAAACAGCCCTAACTCTCGAGTTATGCAATTAAGAACAATAATTTTAATGTCAATTTGTAAGTAATATCCTCAAGTATTAGGACAGTATTAAAAATATAGTATCAATGTGCTGGTTTTTGAAGTAGGTTAAGAAACATAAAAAAACAGTAATTTTTTTTTTAACTTAAATTAACATTGTAAAAGGCGCAGGTTGGGCAAAATGTCGCGCTAGTCGTTATTTGTGCGATTTTTAGGAGCTATCTACTTTTTAAAACATTATATTTCTACATAATCTTGATTCCATAAGTCATATCCAATTTTTTTTAAAGGAATAAATATTAAATTAATCTTCTTACAACGAAACCACATAAATGTGAAATAATTATTGATAACATGCATCTCCTCGTAAAGTAAGTATTATTTTATTTTGCGATTTACACCAATGGATAGGCAATTTATTAATGAACATTTCTATCATAATTTTTTTTCAAAAGACTAAATTTTGATTTTATTAAGAAATTATTTTAAAAACTGGGCGTATTCACTGCCCACGGGCTTCAGTGAGCGTTAAGCTCTTGAAGGTGAAACCCGTGTCGTTTGTCACGGCGTCAGCCAGCGCACATGCTCGCTGACGTCATCTTATCAATCGATAATATTATTATTACTTATTAGGTTATTTATAGGTAGTATTATTTGTTTGTTTTGGGTATAATTTTTCGTATTAGTTATACATATATTTGTTGTGTTTTTTACTGCGCGATGAAGCTTTTTACGTGTATTTTCTT